AAAGGAAGAGAGTATTCCAAAAGAACACTTGTTGATCACAAAATGTGTTTTATTATATGGTGAGGGACTAGCAATCTTGCCAGTAGAGGCTTGCTTTATACAAGAGTGCATTTAACCACCAGAAAACTAACCCAAATTGAATGGCAGACTCTGGTCTAGTAACACAACAGTGAAGCAGAGTTATTCAAGGGACTTGGGTAGGATGAAATTCAATTTATGCAAAAATATCTCAATTAATTGTTATGCAATAACCAAAAGCTATCAAGAACTTCTTGAATTCACCTTTTTTCTTACTCTTGCTTTATCTACCTACTGCACTACTAATGTGGGGGGTGGGGGTGGGGGTGTTGAAGCTTTGAATTGGACAATGCATCACAAAACATCAGTCTCATCGCCCTGTTCAAATTTAACTTTCTGACATACTTACATCAAACACTGCTGGCATTTCATTGCTGTAGTGTAAGGCTTGCTTGCTATTTGTCAGTTGAAGTTGGTTTCTGTATTCTTCTTTGGCCCTCTCACATGCCTGGCCCTTCTCAACTGATATATTTTTGTACTGAAATAGCAACGATATTACAATCAATTTGCTACAATTTGTAAGGAGAATAATTATATAATTATGCTGATGTTAAGGTGTATCAAATATTTGCTTTCCTATCTAAAAATGCATTTTCTTATACAAATGATGCTCTCCTTGTCAAGGAAAATTGTTGATACTGGTATCCAAATGCTAAACTAAGAGGGCCAGATATTAAAACAAGGTCTAACCCAAACCAAGTAACAGACCTCAGGTATTCTCTAAAAGGATTGATTTAATTAAATAAATATCTTTTCACTGTGAGCTTTAAGCCCTCTTCATGCTGTTTACAAAAATTAATGTTCAGGTTAAAGGTTCGGCTAAATTGAAGATAGTTTAGAATACACTTTTGCCAAACAAAGGCTACACTTTGTTTCAACAACTGGCCCATAATTTCCATAAGCCAGTTTTAAACATTGGCAGCATAATATGTAACTGAAGATTTACACAGCTACAATGCTTGAATGAATACAGTTTGAATGAAGAGTGACTACTCCTAAAAATGATATAAGTTGTGCTCAAAATTTTGAGTAAAAGCGTGAAAGTGTTCTTTTAAGTGTAAAAGTTGTGAATTGTTTCTTAAAAAACTGCTCCCTGAATATTTCTTTCTGACTTTGGGCAAAAGGGTGTGGCTTTCATGCAGATATAGTCAAACCTCCACTAACAGACACCTCTCTGCAATGGCCATCTCTCCATAACAGCAACTTTCTTCTGTCCTCAAGGAGGCCATTGTGGAGGGGTTCAAATGTAGTTTTTATTAAAATACTACCTCAATTGATAAATTAGAACTTTTAGTATGGAAAGTTAATGGTTAAACCAGCACAACTTTATTTCACCTTTTCAATCTGCAATCTAGAGTTGGCCATGTCTTGATCAGCTTTCTGGTATGCCTGAAGGGCTTGTTCGGCTTCTTCACTTGCTTTCATAAAAGCTCTTTTACTCTACAAGAAGCAGAAATCATTATTTACTGCAGGTAAATCATTACTGACAGTGGCTCATGCTATTGACTTAGAGAACACCATAAACTTATTATAAGTAACCCTTACACTCCCATGAATGCTTGAGACCAAATTTCTCCTGATAATTCCAATACAATATCAAGCAGACAAATTATGAGTATAGATAAAAATATTGACTGAGACAGTGCTTTCAATAAGACCTGGCACCCGCCAGAGCTCCAGCAGGTATTCTGTTGTGAGTCGCCGGGTATATTTCACCGTGCTCAAGTCGCAGTCACCGCACTCAAGTTGCACTCAAGTCACTCTCTGGCGGGTGCTGTACCGTGGTAGCCACCTATTTAAAATCTTATTGAAAGCACTGCTGAGGGGATTATTAGTTGATCCATTACCAAATTACTAACATCAGTGAAATTGTATGGCAGGTACTATGGGGAATTTCAAAATTAATGAGATCTTGTGAGTAAAGGGATTACTGTCAGTAATACTTACAACTTCCATTGTTTTTATTGACTGTTCTAGTAGTTCTTGAACTTTTTTTCCATCAGACAGATGCTGGAAATTACAATTATAACAATAGATGTCAATAAGTTGAGCCAACGTGCTACTGACGGTATATTTCTAGACTTATCCACACCAACGCATTTTTCCTTGAAAATACATTCCACAATCTGTTTGAAAAGTTTTAACCAATCACTAACACTAAAATGGCCACTAACACTGCCAGAATCAAAATAAAGACAAAAGTTTCAAAACTTATTATCTTGAAAATGAATCTGTTTTATGTATGTAATGCCCTGTTTCTAGTATGGGCAGCTGGAAATGGAACCTTTTGAAGATTAATGTGAACATTGTTAATTTTGCCACTTCCATAAGTGTTCAAGGAGTAAAAATAAATATTATCTGGAAAGTCTCTGAGAAAAGGATTCCCACTTTCAAAAAAATGAAAAAAAAAAGCAATTCCAGATTATTCTCAATAAGGAATCCATACCTACAACACAAAAAGGTTTACCTTTCTTCTCTCTGTCTTAAGTTCATTGTGCAATAAATGTAATTCCTTCCAAATCTTTTCAGTTAAACCTTCTGATATCAGTTCACGCTGTCCTGCCAAATCATCTGTCTCCTTCACAACACCAATGAAAGCCTTTTGAAAAGTAAAGCTGTGAAATAAAGATCAAATTACTTACTTTTGCTTGTAATCATAGAGTGAAACCCGTATCAAGCAAACCTGATTTTAAATCAACACCCTATATGTTAAACTCTTCAACTCCTATGAGTGACTAAGACAGAATTTCTCCATACAATATCAAAACAATGTAAAGTAGAAAAGTCATAAGAATGAAGAAGAATTAAATTAGAGGATCAATAGTTGATCCAAAGCAAAATTCTCCAAACTAACATCTAAGAAAATTGTTTGACAGATGGCAGGGAGAACTACTAATGAGACTTCAAAGTGAAAGGGTTGTGTGGAAACTGGTCCACATCTCAACCAGGACACCACTATAATTATGTGAATGCCAAACCATATTACAGCACTTTTGTTACTAGAAACCTGTATTAAACAGGCATTGTCGTATGAGATTAACATGTCATTTTGAAAGACTTTTTCCACATTGAGGGGAATGGTTTTATTCAATTTTAAATGGTAACAAATTGGCAGGTTTAAAAGTTACCTGATTTTTTTTAAGTGTTAAGTCAGGCTGTCAAACCAGAAATGTTCACCAGTAGCCATGATCCCAAAACAATTCTTGCTTTAACTATTTCAATTGTACAATTTATTCATATCATTTCTAATTGAATACTAGCAGAAGTCTCATGGCTGTTTGCATAACCCTTTAATAATTCCCAGAAGTGAATAACAAGTAACTTTTTCCCATAATATCTAGAACTACACTGTCTAGAAAACAGGTCATGAGAATACCCATCAGATAGAAGTTATTAGCCTGATCTAATAACAAATTACTGCGACAAATTTACAAGGACAGGGGTTTCATTAAGGGCCAGGCACCTGGCAAATTGACCGGTTGTGAGGACAGCTTTGCCCACCTGATTTGACCATCTGGAGGAAAGTTTATCTTATAAATAAGTTCAGTTCAAAGAGTTTTTCCCGCCTGTGAAAACCAGTTGCCCTCCTGCAGAAAACATTAATGAAACCCCTGAAGGAGTTAACGGGTTAATGTCATTTTAGTTTTAATTCCACCTCATAGATACAAAGATACGAGTCTTAGATTTTTTAAGTCAAACATACAATATTACGATTGAAACCTGGTGTAAACTGTATTAATATTGATCCACGGCTAGATACAGAATTTTGGGTACACAAATATCACAGCTTGTAATGTAATGTGGTATTTTGATAATCCATGGTTAACCCTTTACACCTTTATATCAGTGTGCATGTTCCTATGGCACTGACAAGGGGAATTTGTTTGACAATTAAGAGTTTCTCTAGTTGGTGATCATTTCCTTAATTCTCCTGACCTTAATGTTTGATTCAGGGGTGATACTGTAAGGAGAAATTAGCTGCTGGTCACTCTTGGGGATAAAAGGATGAAAAAAGAACAGGCAACTCACATGTGTTCTTCTTCTTTCTTCTTTGGGTTAAATTTCTTTGCAAGTTGTCTAGACAGTAACACAAATTAGTTAATCATTATGAATATTAATTATCTAATGACTCTTTCTCCCACTGCTTGAGAAAGGAAACCTATTGTGTATATTACATTAAGTTTGAAGAATTGGAAATGAATGTATTATTGCTACTCCTGGAACGGATTCAAGGTTCTTTTATTAATTTTATGGTTCTTTCTAACCAGTCCACAAAACAATGACAACCAAGCATTTATTTGCCATTACAACAACAGAGTACATGTAAATGGATAACATAAGTCAACAGCAATTAGGAAAAAAAAAAAAAA